TGCACGTAACAAGGCCTGTCATATGGTACACATACAAAAGCAAAGGACAAGACAGAAGTTACTTCAGGACCATGTTAAGAAGTTAAGTAGAGTTAATGTTCCTACACAACCCTGTTACTGTTAAATATGCCCAATGTTTTTGAGGTTGTCAACTTTCGTGAAGGTTTTAACAAGTTTTCCAGGTAGACTCAGTTGAAAGGTGTATGGAAAAGGGTTGAAGAGCTCTTGTCGATTCAAGCTACATTCAGAGCTGATTGTGCAATTTTACCTTGTTGTTTCTTCAGTGGCAACTTTCTGAACCAATGCGCTTCATTGCGAATGACAAATGTGTTCCTTCTTTCTTCTATATCCTTTTTTTCGGTTACAACTCTATAACTGCCATCAAAGGGTGAAGAAAAGCACCAATCTCAAAACTGAAAGACCAGTAAAAAAACTGTAGACAATGCAAAGGAAGGATAGCATAGATGATGAGAATCGGAGCAGGTGACTGGTGAATTTTGCTCGTACTTAGGTTTATGACGGATATCCGGAATTATCATGAAAAATCTACTATCTCAACTTTTATTTAGAAACAGTCGGAAATGAAATTAGTCCCTGATTTAATAAAGTAACATATCTTGTACAATAATTTTATTGCATTTCGTTAGGCAATTAGGAGGCTAAATACTGACAAGGCGACTTTCTTCCTCCTCACAGACTTCTGTATCGAAAGCTCCACTTAACACGGCAGCACTTAATTCGTCGTCATCGACACCCATGGCTCGCCTTCGTTTCCTGGAAGAGATAGGCCATCATTGGGATAACAGCAGAATTCCGTGAAGATGTCGAGAGAGCAGTATTTAATTTGTTACGGTCCATAAAAAAGAGTAAAAATCGGTTTGGATGCCCAAAGTTACGACTTTCAAGCAAAATACTTCAGTATAGTGGCAAATATGAAGAATCTTCGGACCCAACTGTCCCAACAGCTATCTATGGGTGTATTCGGTTGGCTCGGAACTACCTAGCTCGCCCACCCACATATTCTCACCCATCCTCTTCAAAAACAGGGGCTATTTTGGCATCTTCACTAGACGAGTAGGATTAGCAAAGGAACAACAGAGCATGGTCCCGAACTTTCTTGCTGAAAACTACACAAAACAATTCCTCAGCTTAATAGCAGCGGTGCATTTGAACCACTGTAGATTCATTTGAATGGGATTGAAAAGAAGCCTAGAAAAGCAATGAAAGAAGAAAAATTGTCTTGAATTTTCTTCGAACCTTCGTATACTTTCTTTGTAGCACTGGAAGCATTTTGTGACAATGAAACAGCCGAGGAACAGAATGACTCCACCAGATAGGAACGCCACTACGGCAAACACGACAGATTCGAGATCTTGACTGAAAGATCGTACTATGCGACCTGGAGCTGAAATCGAATTTCAGAGCGATTGAAAAATTCACTCTGGAATTTATCCTGTACTGTTTGACCTTTTTCAGTCTAACGAGGAAAATGTAGTTTATGGAATATTCTTTTGCTCTTCTTCGGTTCTTATTCAGCCTTCGAAGTTGGCGGGCTTATACTTTCGCACAGCTGTACTGCACAAAAAAAACTACTAGTAATCTTTGCGACCGCCCACTGGTGTCGCTTGTTCAATGCACCCTACTTCTGGCTAATTATCCTCAGCGGAAAAAANAAAAAAGAACAAATTCACATGATTAATTACACCTACGGCACTACAGCGTCTCTAGGGCTGGGACCACCCCTACACAAGTTCATTTACACTTTCCGATGTTTTCCTCCTTTTTCCAGTCCCGACTACAGCCCGACTCTACAACTAACTTTTCGTGGTATTCTTTCAGGTATTCTTTTTGAGCACGGCTACTTCTGTAGCTGTTTAAGAGTAAAGTTGGCTACTTGTATTCAAAGACTCTTTGGGAGCTGCCGGTCAATTTTTGTGCTGGCTTCAAAGAGTTGCAGTTCACGTAGACTGATAATATTATTTTTCTTGTGGAAATATCACACATCCCATAAAAGGGTTTCTCCTTCTTCCCCCCAATCACTCTCCCCTTGGATTTCCCCTGTTCCGTTCCCAATATGGTCATTTGTTTGTCGACAAGAATAGCCATGGGAGAGCTGATTTGAAGTCCGTCTAATCACCAAACGAAACAAACATTTGTGTGCATAGTGCGCTTTTCGGTTCTTTTTGGGACGTCCGCAAGGATAAAAATAAAAATAGAAACGACGATCCCGAAAAGGAACGTACCCGGCTTCGTTTCCGTATGCCAATTCATTGTATGATGGCAACCTTCGGATATGCCCTCGCGTTCAACATATGACTGAAAGCAAAAGTTTTAACTCAAATCTTCGTGTAAAAAAAGTTATGTAAAGCACAAATCGATCCACGACAAGGACGAACGCAACATTCTCTCATTTTTCATATTTCAGAAAAATTTCGTAGTGTTAATATGACTACATTTTAGTAATACTAGACCTAATCAGTGGTCGTCTGTAGATTCTGTGCTAGTTTTTCAGAAGGAACAGAAGGAAACTTTTTTCTAGCTGGCGAAAAGCAGTCTTCGAAAAAACTAAACAAATATCCTCGATATAGCAACAAACAAAAATAATTTTTCATCTCCAATGCTCGTTCAAAAACAACATTTTGGCTCATAAGTCCCGCCCACTCTACAAACCATGCCCCGCTAAGGTTGTGAACAAGGCGAATGGGACGCAGTTCATTACGAAGTAGTGATTCTGCCATAATATTCACGTCTAACATACTTTTTCAGAAACCAATGGATTAACCTGCTTCTTACAACATCATGGAGAGCTTGACGGATACAGCTATTTTGAGCCAGCCAAAATTCAATCATTACGCGAAAAAAGGAACTGAAATGATCAACACCACATGCGGAAAGCGACATTTTACTAATCGTAATATTACAAGACACAATAGCTACTTCACTGTTTACTTTATACTTTCTTTCTAGTTAAAATGTCTTCTATATTCTGATTATTCTGATTAGAATATTTATAACGAAATCATTACAAGTGTCGTTGCAGCTGTGCGATCTTACGATTGGGCACTTTGATGAAACGTCGACTTCAAAATCGAATTTTTAAGGTTTTTGTTTAATTTCGTGGAGCTTGACGAGTTGAGTAGAAACATATGACAAATGGCTCGCAATAGTGCAATCTAACATAGGTATTGAGAGAAAAAAGGAAAAGAGAAGGTATGCGCCATGGAGAGTTGTGAAAACTATGGTGTAAAACGACGTATTACGAAGTAGTTAACGTTAATAATCAATGATACTACCATCAGATCAATAGCTATCGCAAAACCCGACCGATATGAATGATGTGTGAAAGAAAAGAAGTGAGAGAGAGTTTTTCTTGCAACGTTTCGGCGAAATTTTTGTACTCTGAGCATTACACCCATGACGCTAAGTGTGAAGTCGAACTTTGTCGCATCAAAAATCGTACAAACTCTAGTGCACCTTTATGAACCCCAACAGTTTCCAACTTCATCGGTTAAGTGGGAAAACCATGATCCGGAAAAAGTTTCTTCCCCAAGTCCTTCTGCCAACTCGTCCTTCTGCCTTTGTCGTAGTTTAGGTTCTGAAAAACTCTGAACCTAATCTCTTCGTGAGCAACATGCTCAAGTACCAACCGATTAGAACTATAACAAGAACTAGTAATAATAATAGTAATAATAATAATAATAATAATAATAATAATAATAGTAATAATAATAACTGTGATAATATAACAATGACAATAGTAATAAAGATAGTTTCCTTCATATGTCGTTATGAAAATAATAATAGTAATAGTAGTGATAATAATAACTACAATAAGAAGTAGCAATAATAACGGAAATAATGATAGGACTTGATTTTAAAGACTTTTAACAATATGCTGATAATAAGTTTTCAGATAGATAATCGATGATCATCGGGACGACAGATGATACAGGTGATAAAGGCCATAACAATAAAAACCGCAACAGCTATATCAAGTAAAACAATTATTATACTCTTAAAACATTATGATAATAATATGTAGTAATAATACAGGTAAAATGACCAGTCATTAGAGCAATCTATGGGCTTATGAAAGCAAAGTTGTTTTAAGTATGATTTTTCTACATCTAGAGGGTTTTCAACATTTGGAGCCACTCACTACCCAATAGTTCCCACCTGGGCCAGACCATCCAATAGCCACCCGTGCAAGCAGGATACATCGACAAGAATGAGAAAAAAATGGAGTTCTGACAGATACAAAGTCCCATGGATACCCGAACTTCTCACGCCCTCTATGTGTGTTTGTGAGATATCAAGGACTTACTTCATTACAACACAAAATCAAGTCCGATCTGGTCTCATTAGTACGTGTCGGTTTTTTGAAGCTTTTTTCACCTGTCCGTGTTACTTCCCTGTCCTCCACGTCCCTTATTATACTTTCCCGAGTTCCTCGCTTTTTGATAACTTTCCTTCGGGATCTATTCCAAAAGACGCAATCTACTGTCAAAAAGAGTTTGGGTGGCAAGCAAGACAGAGTCCAAAGTCTTTTCCGAGTTAATCAATCCCGTCTTCCGGGATGCGCCCCCATTTGACTTCCGTTTTGAGTCGTAGTGGCGTTTTTAAGGGGCAGGATGGCTCACACAATGAACTGTGGTGGCTAGCCGATGAACTAGTCAGTACTTCTGTGTCTACAGACAAGCCAGGTATCAACTAATAGGCCCCAGGGAAATGAAAGACTTGGTTGGTCCGAGCGTATCGGTCCGGGTTCAATCCTTGATCTTGAGTGTGCAAGTGCGTAGTGCGCCCCTTGCCCCTATGCCACCTCCCACTAAAACAATGAGAACTTAAACAGAAATGGCTCATAACAATCTCCTATGAGCTTTATAGCATCATAAAACGTAGTACACGGGTGCTAACACAGATATACACAATTTTTACAACCATGTAACACAACACACACACACACATGAATCTCTTTCACAAGTTCTCTCGTTACGATACTTCTTTATATCTGAGGTCATGGACCTTCAAAAACTTATCGACGGGAATTCTGTCAGGTGATACTCACTCATTAATTATTCATTCAAGCCGTTCAGCTTTCTCGAACAGAAGACAAATAACAGCAGTCTCTTTACTACAAACTATGCATGAGGTGATTCACAGGACAAATCGCTGTAAAGCTGTAATGATTATTGATTAGCTGTGGAAAAGAATTTGTTTATACTTTCAGCGAAACGGCGATAAATGACAGGAAAGGCTCTATGAGGAGAATTAGAGTTCGAAGTTGAATACTGTTATGGTTCTGTGGAGCGATTGCTCCCTTTGTTTGGATTAGAAGTGAAACTTACTGAACTACAAGGGCGGATTCAAACTAACTTCCTTTTTACTGGTAAAAAATCAGTGTTGGAGCACAATAGGTGTATGAAGTGAGCACGGAACAATAAGCAGAATCATCTGGAAACTACTCGTGGATCAGCAGATGAATCAAAAGCACATGTGTGAGTGACGGCACCTGGTCGGGTCAGTTGCTGTGAAATTAGTTATTTTGTTGGAAAACTCAATGAAAAGGTGTCAAAAATCAATGAAATTTGCAAAATTTTAACTAGTAATTGGCTACTTTGTTCTTGAGTGATCGCATCGATAGTAGTGGCTTTCGATATTAACAGGTAGCTAATTTAATCGCTTTCCTGCCATAAACTTTCATTCAACAGGGTGCAGAAATCAATAAAGATCATTAAATCGATCACCGTGCAAGAAGTTTTGACAAATGTCCCTTCGAGCGCCGTTTCTTTTCCTAATATTTTCTCTCTGCTGAAAGGCAATCATAGAAATAAAAAGTAAAATCGATAACATCCTGCAAGATAGTCGGTAATGGAACTTTACAATTATCTCTGTAAAGTTGCAAAAATTTTTCTTTCACATTTTTTTATCACTAATGATAGCAGTGATACGTCATTGGTAATGGGTATTGCGGTTATTTTTTAACTTGCGGTGAGCAGAGTGCTGGTAGTAAACAAATAAATAGGGGTAAATAAATAAATGCAGCAGGAGAAAGCAATGAAATCACAGTAAATGCTGATAAACACTTGGCCATGGCTGAATCGGATCAATGAACATGTGTTGTGTTGCAAATGAGACAAGAAGACGGGAACGAGGGTCCTCTCTTCACGCGTCTCGACGTTGTTTATCCGAAATGATCCGAAAACCAAGATTCTCATTCATTCATACATTAGACTCTCTCATGTTGTGTTATATGAGTATGAGACAATGTCCCAAAAAAGGTTGTTGCGAACTTCGAAGTTGCGCCGTGAACCAGACCTCACTGAAAAATTCGAACCGACTGAATAGGATTTAATGGATTTATTTCATGTATTTGGACCACTCAATTGGATTTATGATAAAGGATGGAAGGCTGTAATCAGTAGGGTAGACTAACCCTTTTCAAGGTGCTCCCATTCATTTGACTTCCACCAAAATCATAGTAGTGTTTGAATGAATATTTGACCTGACGAAGGCCTATAGGGGCCAGCCTAGAAGGCCTATAGGGGCCAACCTAAGCTCCCACAATTATTTCTTCTTCCCGAACAAGGCTGGCACAAAGTGCTTCCTGATGATGGATGGCCTGAGTGGAAATGGGGACAGGATTTGATCCCTGAATCATGCATGTGGTCTCGATGCCTCTTAGCTTTGGTTCACCCCAGCGCTCAATTTGGGAGGATAGCTTAGAATGCTGCTAGTCGCCATGATATACATTTCAGGACCACATATTGAAAGTTGATTAAAATTAGTACTGGATTTATTCACTTCTAGACAGTTGATAAATTTAGTGATTTTTTTGTCATGTAAGTCTGGAAAGCTACCGTGTTTTGTCTGGAATGAAGATGGAAGGCATGAAGCTGTCTCTTTTCTCCTTCAGTGTTGCTTGAACAGGAAAATAATCCAACAAAAACTCAAAAAGTGAAACCCTTAAGTGCATCTAAATATTATACAGTAATGGCTTGGAATCCATCAGATTGGACCCTCCAAAAGCTACGAAAATCAGGAAACGTGAGGGAACATCGTCGAATCATCACTTGTAATTTGTCAAGCTGCAGTGTTTTCGCCCGTTGAACTGCTCTTTTGAAGTGAGCCGCATACCTTCATTACAACAGAGGCGTTTGGGAAAATGATAGGTCCGATCTCCGATCAAAAATCATTTTGCTAGCTATTTGTCCATTTTATGTGTTTGTAAACGTGAGAAAGGCCCAACAAAGAATAAACAACAACAAAACATTACATGAAATCAAACTGCTCAATATGGATGCACGAGGAATTCAAAAAAAAAAGGTCACGTAACGTACAACTAAACAACAAGCACTGAAAAAAACTGTAATGAGATTCTCAAGAGATTCCAGAGGGATCTCCCTATATCAGGCAAAATACGGTAGTGCAATGAGGTGTTCAGGTGAGACGGTTATTTTCTCTGGCTAGCTCAAGAGGGAAATTACTTGGGCTTCCGAAATTTTGTTTGAATATGAGCTTTGAGCTTCGAAGCAAGGAGATGCTTTGAAAAAGCCCCTCATTGAACCCTGCTCTTCAGAGCTCATCATTGATGCATCAGTATGAAATAGCCTTTAGAACCATGGCTGCCCCAAAAAGGGTTAGTGCTGCAACAAGAAGTTTTCCTTTCCTTTAAACGTCACAAAACACCAAAAGCTTATCCAACTGAGCCTGAAAAAAATAGCAAAAATCTCATCGCATACGCCGACGGTCTGCTAGCTTCCTCAGTAGTTGCTTCACTTAAGTGCGGCTGCGTATGGTAGTTCTATTTCAAGTATGGGTCCTGTCCTATCTCGTTATTTGAGAGCCCTGGAGTACAAATTTATTTTTATACTGTCAATTTTACAACGGAATAACGAGTTAAAGACGAAGTGGAGGGGAGAAAGAGGGAAGCGAAATATTTTATTTCACTTTGTTTGAGATTTCTCCTATCATGATTATAGTGGTGAGAAGTCTGCCAACCCTCTTCATTCCAAATGCTTACCCACGTCACCTGACTCCTGGGCTTCGACCAGCTTCTGTGAGCAACAATCTCAAAGCTCAACTTCGTCAGCCTAGCGTCACCTACTCACATGACCTCTTGCAGTATAAACAACCTGATGCCCTCTTCATTTTCTGACTTCTGCAACCTCTTATTTACGCCCTACTTCCTACTTGCTCAATCCTCTGCTTCAGTCACACAATTGTCGTCAATTCGATTCCCTGTTCCAGCACTTCCCCCTCCCACTAGCCTCCTCATGACGTGCTCAATAACGCTTACTAGATGTAGTAGTTTACTCTGCTCGAGGCTGAGATTCAGTAGGGTTCGGGCTGAACGGAAGTACGCCAACCAGACTTTGGCCAAAAGTTGGCAAAATTGGTAGATACCGTATACTAAAGCTTAGTTAGTGTTAATGTGATATGTAAATTGTTTAGGCCACCCGTCACATTTGTTCGTGACGGCGGCCAACACGTCATCGCCTGTCATCAGTACAGCCAGACTGATTCATTCAAACAGAGCTGTAGTGATGGGCATGGTCCCAAATAGACGTGAGCAGTCTTTCCTGCGGGGGTAAATTGATTTTAGATGAACCACACAGCCGTCCGTTATCTGGAATACAAACTTTTGCTACAGGTTACACTAGCCTATGTACCAGTCACCGTGTTGCCCTCTCAGGCCAGCCTGCCCACAATTTAGCCCGAACCCGAGGAGATGGATGATCTAGTTAATCTGGAAATTTTGGATTTCTTAGGCATATCTGGGGCCCCCTATCTCCTAACTCAAACCATAAATTCCACGTGGGATCGGTGTACTCTATGAAGAACGGACTTGAGCTGCTCTGAAGAGCCTGAGAGCTTTCTGGGGAAGCTCCTTCCCTTGTATGGCATATATCACAATGATACTATGATACTTATATACGTATATTACTGAAAATATACTATATTAGTTATATATATTACTTAAAATAATGTTAACGCAGTGGATGGAAAACAGCAAATGAGCTGTGCCTGGGAACAGTCTCTGTAGAATGCGCCATACACATTGCTCTCATTCAAAATCGAAGAGGCTTTGGGGGCTGGGGAAGTGATTCATACTAGCCCGTACTAGTTTTGCCGGTTTCCTCGGGTAAGTTTTTCTGGGTAGAATTCAAGAGACGTCGGAGCTTTGGCTAGAATGGATGGAATCCGATCCCTCCTTCGCAGGAGCCGTGCAACGGTCCCTTTCAATGAACTGCTTCATTCTCAAAGCATAGCTAAACCCCTATACACTCTGTTCCCATTGTTAGAACCCCATAATACCACTCCTCCCCCTCAACATTACCAATAGCAACCGACGAGTAATGGAGAAAAGATTTAGGAGAGATGGTCAAGCTCTGCCTGCGAAATAATGCATGGGCCAAATAGACATTCGAATGGTACAGCTCCAGGCTCACAGACGGCATCCAAGCAATCCTCAACCATATGGGAATACAGATCCCTCTAAACCGTCTGAAGTTTGGTTTCCCTCCAAGAAATGGCTCCTCGTTACCCTCAGTCCGGTTCTCCTACCGTACTCCCGACCTTGATCGCTATCGAGCCGTCGTACTGGGTAATGAGATTTGTACGGCTGTGAGCTATTTCGGTATCGTTTCGGGGCAAACGAACGGATCGTCGTCGTTTCTGTGTGCATAACCCCCCGATTTAACGCGTTCAGCCGCGCCGGCTCGTCATGGTGCTTGTCGACGCACCCGACGATCGCAACGCGGCCGTAACCGTCGGATCGCGGCGTGCGCTCAGTGGTCTCTCTGAAAATCAATCGATATCGGCAACGGTTGCGTTCTGCGGTGGTGTCAGCGGCGGCGCTCTGGTGGTGGTGGCGGTCTGCTCGTACCCTCGCACACACAACGACAACGACGACGACGGGTCATCTCTCGACACCACACATCTGTGCACAACTATTTCGCTCATTCTGCTGGTCCCATCTATACCCTCATGATCATCACCAACACAGTTCATTCCGTACGGGGATTGTAACTGTAAGTAACATTTGGTTTTGTAAGATCTTTTACTATTCAGACTGCTTTACTATTTCGTCCAACTGTTTTTAGCACATGATTTTTGCTCGCCATTGCTTTCAGGGAAACGTCCGTGGTTGATAGATGATAGTTCTGTTTCGGCATTTCCTTCCACGTCGACGTCTACACCATAATGGCTATGGTCAAGTACTGGGGTGATGAAAAACATGCGGTATATTTTCTCAGTCTGTTTGCTAATTACTATTTGCTAATCCTTCATGATCGCTTGGATTCTTCCCATTTATTTGCGCACCTTTTTTTACTCCACCCGATTCGCCGATGAAAATTGCCGTCTTTTTTCCTTTTTCGCCAACATCCTCCTGTTTTGTTCCTCTCTTTAGATACTGTATACATTATGCAGTTTTGAAGACATTATTTCAAGAAGCCATTGTTTTTTTTTTCGTTCGGACATTGTTTATACCCAGCCGTCTTCATCTACGTTGTCGGACGGGTAATCATGCCGCAATTATGGGATTTCCCCGCCCACATCTTTAAAACACGTGTCGCATAATTACACCAACAAATACGCTACGTTCTCAAAAAATCCCGAAATTGTTTTTTTCCTACCGTAAGTTTAGAAAAAAGCACGTGAAGTCGTAAGAGTATATTGTGAGTCCCAATTTTGCACTCTTTTAAGGCTTTTTTGAAACTTTTGGAAGTCATACGATCATTTTTGCCATAGTTCGTTGAAATTTGTGTGGATTTTGTAACAATATTTGTTCACTCTACAAAGGTATTGCGCTATTCTGCGATTGCACAATCTATACGGTGTGGTAATTCTGAATTTTGTGAATTGGGGGAGTTTTTGGGGTTCCCACGAAAAGAGCTTGGGTGGTATAGCTTTTCTCTTGATGGCATTTGAACTAGTTATTTCGGAAATTCATCTAATGCATGGTTCATTTTCTAAATTACGTGGATTCACGTTGTGTGTCTGTTTGACTCGTTTTTCTCCGTTTCTATCTATTTCTTATTTTATTCTCCAGTTTAGTTCGTTTATTTCCCGTTTTTCCATTTTATTTTTTAAAATTCCAAATGCATCCCAAGTTCATAGTCCATTTAGTCGTCCTTTTCTTTGTTTACATTCGGCTTAACACTGAATCTCGCCCTTGTATAAACTCTCGCTCGGCTCGGCTCACCTTTGACCATGTTCCAAGCTCTAGGGAAAACCGGAAAGGTTTGACTGCAGCTGGGGTTACGTTACCTCCAAAATATGAAATTTGCAAAGTTTTTTGAACCAAACATGTTGTTTCCTAGACCGATATCAAACCCTAATAAGTGGACGGTCGTAATGGAAAAGAGGCAATGAGGGCAAATCGAATGATTTTCTGACGAAGTTCACAGGATTTTTCGATTTTTTGCTGATTTTTTGTGCCTGAGTTATATATGACGCTCTCCCACCTGGATTTCGTATTTCGGGAGCAAAAGGGAGTTTCAAAATCAGAGATCACATTGGCGAAGCCTTTTCTCGTGGTGCCAGATTGTCCCGGTGGGAAAGTTGTTAGTTATCTTGCTTATCGACTTGATCTTTCTTCTGAATCCCACGATTCGATCCACTCGTGCATAATGTCCTTGTCAAACGATAATATCCTTGTCAAACGCGTAAAGCGACGGCGATTTCATGACCGACTTCGTGTTTTTCAACGCTAAACCTGGTTATGGAGGCATGGGGATCAACTAGCCGGATCGCCAAAACATATTCCCAATTGGGGAATTCCTATTCGGTCACTTCGACATTTTGTACAACCATGCTATGGTTCTTTTTTTGAAAGTCTTTTGTTTTGTTGGGTCACTGGTCCGCTCTAAGAAAAGCCTGTTCAGAGGTGCAAACGGTGATTTCATTTTCTTTTTATATGCTTTGCCCCGTTTTGGAATCAGAAAGTCACGAATGGAATGCTGAAAGAAGAAATGATCTAAGATGATGAATTTCCCTGCTTATTTATATCCGAAGTTTTCCGCAATCTTATTTCATTAAAGACGGCCTACCTTGTTCAGTTCTTAAATGGCTTCTTTAATTGAAGATTGCGGCATTACTACTTCATATATTTCGGGCTTTTTCTGTTTATTGTTTTGTATCCATTGTTTTTACTTTTAGGATGCAATATATGCAGTTTACCTGAAAAAGGTCAGGTATGTACCTCCTCCAGGCTACGACGGTGTACCGGTTGGTATTTTCATGCGCAACTTACTGTTTTCCTGTTGTTACTACTTTACTATATAGAAGTCAATGCAGAGGTATCGTGCAATTGATCCGGACCGTCCGCAACTACAATGTCCATGTCCTGGATCGGATCATCTACAATGGGAAAGCGTCAAAGAANGGGTTATCAAGGCTGGCACGGTCGAAAAGCTGGTGGTAGGTTTAATGTTTCCCCATCTTCCCACATATCTGCTTCTACCTGGATTTACCAACAGTTGTTGCTTACTTTTCTTGATTAGCACATTGTGTAATCAAGAAAACTAAGCAGTGTGTAATATTCGAAGAAAAGTCTTCGCGGAGCATTGCGAACAGTGATGTTGCTGTAGATTTAATCGTTAAGTGGACCGAAGACCAACATATAACAATGTGAGATTATCGAAATATTTCACATTTGGAATGTAGAGACGGCTTATGTCCTTTTTATTCTTTTGCTGTATGGGAGTCTATCTTTTTACGGAGGATTACTTTACGTTTGCCTTTCAGAGGGGGGCTGCAGAAATAGAATCATTTCAAGGGTAAATCAGTTCGTAAGTAAAACGCGGTCTTTGTAGAAGGCTCTCAGAGGCTTTTGTAGTGGTGAACTTCAAATCTCGAGCCCATATACTTCTTGAATTTCCAAAGTATGTTTGGAGCTGTTACTTTTTTGAGAAGCAGTTGGAGAGTACTTTACTTGAGATTATATTTATGAACATTTGATACCTTCAAAGCTCTAGTGCCCTACATTATGTATAGCACTTAATTTTGAAGGTTAAAGAAAGGTGGACAACCCTGCCAGGCGGCGATATGTCGTTGTGGTCCTATGTGTCTACGACATACATACATATACCTTTCATTCGGGGGAGGGTAGGGGGGGGGGTATGATTTTCATTGTTAGGAACTTGAAAATTTGGCCCCACACTTTCACATAAAGGAACAAAATACTTTCTCTGTGAGGAACATGCGTCATTTCACACTGTCCTTAGTTTTAGGAATGTCTAGTTGGAGCCGATGGAACGATGGACTCACGCCATTTCAATGTATTTTTTGCTACTTATCGAGCATTTGCTGAACCAACGAACGTTCTTGATAGGTGCGCTTCTGTTCATCCCTCTCCTTTTAACTATTAGCACTCGCTTTTTACCAGCGCATATAAATGTTTATTTGAATGATGTATTCAGGTTACTAAGGCGGTACGAGTCGCTTGACAAAGAAGTTAATTCCAGCACATCGGCGCTTGTAATTCAAAAGTGAGCTGATTGGTTTGACTCACGAGATCTCATCTAATTTTGTTCCGCTCCAGTTCTATTCGATCGATACTGATTTGTTGGTTGGACATGTATCCTGAGGATTTCTATGATCCCGATTGTGATTTTGCGATGCTCACGAATTTACTGGATTTCGGACAACGTAGCAAGCTATCAGATTTACGTGCGAAGTCTAGAAAATTGTTGGAGCGTTTCAAACACATACAGGAGGAAGGTGGAATGATAGGTAAGTTCAAGTTAAATCGATCGATTTTTGGATTTCTCATGTCAAGGTCCTTTGGGATGAGACCTATGATCAGTACTGAAGTGTGACAAGACCTTGTGAAAAGTATTTTAATGATTGGTCAGGAAACCCTTTGTTTGATGGAGGTGCACATTACTCATCTTCATGAAGATTTGATACCTTTGAAGCTCTGTTGCCTTACTTTTTGTACCGCACTTAATTTTGAAGGTTAAAAAAAGGTGGATAACCCTGCCAGGCGATAATGTGTCGTTGTGGTTTCTTAAGTCTACAACATGCAGACACTACTCCAAGGGAAGGGATTATGTTCGGTACGAGGGGACTTAATAGAGGAACATATGTATGATGTGCTTGGTCTATCCGCTACCAAGTCGTAATTTTATATCAAAATAACGACTCATGAAATGTTCCTTCTTCAGCTGCTCTCCCGTCGTTGGACCAGCTGGCATATGCATTTGGATACGACGCCTCCGAGTACTCCAAGAATCCTCAGGAGAAGTATGTTTTGGCCAAATTTCCCTTTTTTCTCGATTTTTTTTTTGCAGTAAATTTAAGTGTGAGCAGTTGTTTGTCTAGGAATGATTTAGAAACAAAATTATTGGTCTGTGACATAGTGCCTGAAATCAATAATAATTGGAGCTCTACATGATAATCTGGTTTTTTAGGGTAAAAATGTTCGACGTTGGTAGTGAGAACTGTGTTCAAATCGCGGAACAGTTGACCTTTTGGGATGCGGTATGTTAGTCCTTTCTTGGTATAATTGTTTTTGTTTTTTATCAATTGTACTGGTCAAGAAAATAAAGCACGCCTGGGTTCTATTCGATTTTTGGCATTATACCTTCATGTAGAAAATGATGATTGTAGGAGCTCTTCCGTGAGTTGATCATCCATCAGTGTCAGGGCTGTGTATGGTCCAAGAGGCACCGTTTAAGCAACGACAAGGTTTATACCGTGAAAGCAACCATTGATCAGGTATGCCAACCTCCATTTATCGTATGTTTAACTTTTTTCGCTAAAATTTGCATTATTTTGATGTTGTCGAATACGGATTTTGTATCATCTGTACTGCAGATTATGTCGATTTTGCTCCTGCCCTGAGTGCCTAGCAGGGTGTCTGGCTTGTTGTCATAAGTTACCTTAGTTTCAGTAGTTAGCATGTAGTCCATAGGTGAGGGTAGTATCTGGAGTTCCTTGATCCTTTAACTGTAAAGAAACTATTCGGTTAGTTTGTTGGCTGTCACTAAATTTAGTTTAAACATAACTTTTTCTGTTTTACGCCGTTGGTTACTTTTTCGTCTTATACCTCTTATTTGATCAGGTCGCTGTTGCAATCTGCCTTATCTAACGCTGAGTGAGGTCTGCTGGGAAGATCTACACTTCACTCTATCCTTTTTTCAATAGTATCCCGTGAAAGGTTCTATCTCTATCCCTCGAGTATATTCATTTTTTGGATACCTACTCACCATAATTTCACTGATCCTTCACATATTCCACTTATCCTTCTTATTATACCTCTCGCATACTAACTTTTGACAGCTTCATCTCTCGAACTTAAATGTTTGGAAAACGGGATGTTTCCTACGAAGCTGGGCTCATGAGTGCACACTTTTTTCTCATATTTGGGTTTCTGTCTGGCTCTGCGCAAATCTTAACTGTACAGGAGGTCTCATTGTTTGTCTGTATGCTTAATCGGTCGAATGTTGTCACGGGAACTGGGGCGAAAAGAAAGGTGACAATAGAAGCGCCTGTGATTCAGACATCGCTGCGTCGTCCAAAAACACCTGTTTCCAAATCATACTGTTTATTCAATTCATGTCTGGGCATAAGTTCTGGGGAAAAACCGTTTCTGTGATTATTCAAAATTACAGTTGCTACCTAGAATATTGGCGAGAGCAGTGACGACCAAGTAAAGCATATCATTTTGCCGGGAATTGTGCTCGTTGATGGCTGATAGTTTCTTAATGAAGTTGGTACTGCAGAATCTAAGTTCCTTGCGCACAGAATGTTAAATATTTGTGCTGGAAATGGTATAGATGTCATGGAACCGAGAGTTGGAGTGATACAATACAACTAAATTATTGCATTCTTGATTTACTCTTTGATATTGTTATCTAGATACTAGTGACTTTTTGCATGGACGATGTTGCCTTGAAACGCATTCCTGCGTGGAATCGTTTATCCATTTCACGGTCGTTTCCGGTCTTGCAAAATTCCATTCATCTTCAGACATCTCATCAATCAGTCATGGACTGAACCGCGTCTCGCAATGCAATTGATGATGCGAGAATACCTCGTTACTCCAGTTTATCGCTTTTTTCTCTTCGCTCGTTTCGCAATGTTTTTTGGTGTTCTGGCGTTTAGACGGTTTGCTTTTTGTGATGGGAGAGAGATAGAGTTGTAAAGTATTAGTATAGCAGTGAGAACGTTATGAATCAGGATCTTATTCTCATGAAGTAATAAAGTTTTTTAAAGGGTTATTCAGTAAGGTTGCTGTCTAGGCCTGGAGCCATTGGTCGTACACTTGCAATCCCAGTAAGATTGGCTGAGAGTTTAGGAAAATGCCATTAATTCAGTGAAATCTTTTTTGAGGTGCTATAATATATGAGAAAAACCAGTTTGGTTTATGAGAATCATTCTTTCGCTTTCAGTTCAATGCTGTATCGCAACGGGTCATGACTAGTATAGTGTTACCAGACTGTCGACCAGACTTTCGAGCAAAAATCATCGCGAAATGGATTGATATTGCGAGGGTGAGTAGGTGCAATTGAAGTTTTTTCTGCAATTTTTGATGATAGCTGATGATTGCTGGTCGGACATGCGCTGCATTTTTCCCTTTGTTTGATGATGGCTCCTTTTGTTGGCATGGCTAAGAAAGCCTTAAGTGAAATGATTCCCTAACGTCTGGGTAATAACTTCTCTTTTTTTAAGGAACTTCGAGCATTGAAGAACTTTTCGTCGTTAAAAGCGGTACTGTCAAGTCTCCAATCTGAACCGGTGCATCGCTTGAAATCTGCTTGGGCTCTCGTGCCGAGGTTTGTTTAGAGTTCGAAAAACACTACTGGTCTCTTTGTTTGCATTCTGGCAGCTTCGCGCTATTTGACAAAGAAGTTCAAATGCGGTCGATGGTCAGAGTTCTGCATCTATAAAATAATACGAAAAATATAAAATTCGTCAACGGAGCTTTCTTTTTCTTCAGTAGATCTATGGCCCAGTTTCGAGACTTGTCATCCATCTATGATATGGACGAAGAGGGTGATGAACGAAATGCTCGTCGTATTCTCGAACAGGTGAGACATGGATCAGTTCACCTTTATTAAGTTCATGCATTCTTTGCAATAGTGTTGAACTCCTTTAAATGGTTAACTATCATAGTTTCAGTTTAAGGTCTTATTCTGTGCTCCTGGATCATGTTTCAATTCCCATTTTCACTATCCTTTTTCTTATACTGCATTCTAATAATTACTGGTTATCGTAACTCTGAGTTTCACCTGTCCCCCGTTCAATCGATCTTTTACTTCACTTAAGGGGTTTCATCTTGCATTTTCAAGTGATTTTGAACTTATTTTTTGCTAGCTTCACTTCATATTGATTTATAGCAAGCGATTACAGAACTGTCTGCGCTGCGTCTATGCTTGTTTTCCTTTTCACTTCTTTCTTCGTTATCCCTTTGCTTTTGTCTACCTGGCGTCTTCTGATTGACCCCTTCCTTGATAAGATTTTTTGGTCTTCTTTTCCTTCATTCATCGTACTTTGTGTTCCTCACTTTGTTCTATAATATATTTTATAATCCAATAGTTTGTTGCTGTCATCACCAGAGTTTTTTCTTCTCTTCAGGTTTTTTTTACTCATCCAGTTTTAATTTTTCTCTGTTTAACACTAAGGGGTAACCAGGGATGGTTACTATACTTCAAAAAAAAATCGTGATCGTAATGAAACATTTTTACAGTTATTTACTCATCCAGTTTTAATTTTTCTCTGTTTAACACTAAGGGGTAAGCAGGGATGATTACTATACTTCAAAAAAATCGTGATCGTAATGAAACATTTTTACAGTTATTCTTTCGTTTTTATTGAACAGCAAGTTGTTGTCTGTTCACCTGTTCTCAATTTTTAAGAGTTTTTTGAGAACTTCACTAATGATAAATCGAGCACAAGTAAAGTGGTAACAAATAAAAATTGTAATAAGTAACAAATAGATGTTAACTATGTACATATTATCAATATTTTTCATGAGTGTACAAGTACTCTACGTGTTTGCATCTCCTCCTTCACAGAAGACCCTATCAGAACGCATATCATTGTCATGAACTCTTTTTTCGAATTCTGCCCTTGATAACTCTCATTTCGTTGAAATCTACAGCGGCTGTTGGTGATATAAAGTAAGCGACTGTTGCTTACTGTCCATCTTTAGCTTTCGTCTGGAGCCAAACTGTTATCAGCTCTATGAAGCCAAACTGTTTTCACCTCTCCATGCCTCATCTACCTGATTCTCCCTTCATGAATAAGTGATTGTTTTCAATTTCAGGAAGGCACTGCTAAGAGCTCACCGCTAAGGCGCCCACAGTTGGTTCAGAATTGCCGTCGAACGAAGAGCGATGTGAATCTTGCAGAATGCCAAGGTACTGTACCGTACCTCGGCTCCTTTCTCACGGACTTGACGATGATTGACCAAGGCACTCAGGATTTTACAGAAGGTAAGCCCTTATTTCTAGTCTTTGGCGATTTCTATGTAGGTGGTAACTGTTATTCTGAGGGATGATATGCTTACCTTCTTATCTCAGTGCTGTACAACCCTATGTACTGCACCAAACTCTGAAGGTAACAGAAAAGGTGGGCAGTCCACTGGGCTAGCCGATGTTGCAGTGGTACTATCCACGACAACAATCCAATAAATAAGTCTTGATTAAGTTCGAAATTGCGCGAAAGCAGTAGGAAACTGGGTGCATGGCGCAATGCTTTCCCGTTTTTGCGACTTCAAGCGTTTCCTTCCGGGAGCTCATGTAATGTTCGAAGGTAGTAATTGTTTAGCAAATGCTGGTCTACTGGAATAACCGGCGATTGTAGTCTGCAATTGGTATAAAGATCCCCATCAAATGCATCGTTCTAACCGTTCGTGTGCTTAAATGTTTTTAATATTTCTGTGGACGTTATCTGATAAAGAGGCTGGCACTGGATTGGTTTTCTTATCAGTCTGTGTGATCGACTTGTCCTTCTAAGTGACAGTGTGGCTCAGGAGTAGCCGATAGTCTCCTAACGGCCAGCAAACATACCATATCATTGGCTGAAAACGTTCGAAACAATGATTTTTTTTTNNNTTTTTTTTTCTTTTTCGAGAAGATTGCTGTTTGAGTCTTTCCCAGAACAAGCAAATGTTGTTTTTGGATCTCCGTAACGAGGATTCCAAGAGGTTTGGGAATCGGAACCGGTTCTGTTTGTTTAGCTGTGACGGGCGGTAAGCTATTAGTGCTGTATGTGTTCTTCTCAAGGGCAGTATTAGCTCCAGGCCTGCAGGGACTGTGCAGTGAGTCTTTTGTGGTCCAAATATACAAGACCACTGGATGTGAGGGATGAGAAAGAATGGAAAGATACCCTCTGAAGTCCCTATCAAAGGTGGAAATTTCAACTTCTTGGCGGTCCTCTCGACAGATTCGGTGAATGATGTCGTTTGTCTGGGTTTTGTACAGAATGTAATATTTGAGGTTTCAACGAGAAACTCATCGGCGAAATGATTAAAGGAGCCACCCGGCTGCAAACGTTCTGCATCGTTATTGCTTTCGCGATGACCGTAATTAGAAAACCGTGACGAACCCTATATCATTCTTTTACAGAGGGATTGATCAACTTTGAGAAGCGACGCAAGGAGTTTGAAGTGCTGGCGAAGCTGCGGCTGTTCCAATCGGCGGCTCGTGCCTACCACATTCCGATGGATCGAGTTTTCTGCGCATGGTTCCACTTCTTACCGTGTCTATCAGAAAAGGAATGGTGTGTGTTTATTTATGTTTTTTCTCTTGATACCTTTTAGAGGAGTAAAGTTCAGTTAGTAGCTCCGTTTTGTTTCTGTAGCAAGACGGGACAAAAATGGGTCGAAGAGTAAGATGAGAGTAATTATCAGAGTTTGTGCCTATAAGTATAACCTACAGTAACACCTTGCCTGCGTTAGAGTTACTTCAGAAAAACCTACTCAGCACATGCAAGAAGGGGCTTCTTTCTGAAATCTCGTGTACCTTTTGCGATCCATGTTAATTTCAGCTTCAATCGGTCGTTAGAAGTTGAGCAGCCGACGATTGTTTCAACTCCTGACATGAATTCGCGGCACAATACCAGTTTATCCAACGGAAATTCGGGTGTCCTACCAAAAAGGTGTGTTTCTTGATGCCCGTAATGCTAACATCAAGCCAACTCAATTTTTGCTTTGCGTGTAGCTTTTTCACGATTCAATGGCGTTTTCATTTAGCAACACATTGGCTCGCCTGTTCAATTCATCTCGTTCTGGAGAGGACAGTGCAACGAATGTGTCACAATCACATTCACATTCACATTCTCAGTCCAGTTTTACTGATCCTGTGCTCGATTCTTCTGTCGCGTCACCAGCCGGTGTTCGAGTTTCACATGAAAGCTGCACCAACTATGAGGAGTGGATCGACGGCCGAGTAGACGGTGGACCTCCTGGCCCGGTAAGTAGTGTTGTTTACAATGTTTACTTATTTTTACAAGAAAGTCAAGTAAGATAGGGGAAATTGTTGCGATTATTTTCTAAGTGATTTCCAATTAAGCATAAGAGGATGCCCGGTTGTTTCACTGTTTTGATGTCAGTATTGGAACTCCTTCTGTGTTTGTCAGGTTCCCTCCCCTCAATGTCTTTTGAGGATATATAAAACCTAGGTTTTGGTCGAAATTGAGGTCCGCCTGTTCAAAAACTTGCCCTCTTCAAGTGAACTATCGAAAGTTTTGCTCAGGTATCCCTGTCACGGACACTTTCTCGAACAGCTCCGGGTGTTCAGTCGTTCACAGCTCCATCGACGCCAGCCAGTTCCGTGTCTTACAAAGGTGGACGATCAAACTTCTACCAGCAACGCATTGGTAAGTTGTATTGGAAAATCAACTTTGAACCGATTATTGTGTTTAATAAGGATGTAGGCGTGGTTGTACTGGGCTGGGTTCATTCTTTACGCCTTGCTTATTGCTACCGATACCCCTTACCAGTACCACGGGAGCTCTGCTTGACAAGTAGTCATGATCAGCTAGTTCTTTATAAGATGCCTCGATATAAAGGCTACATTTGTTCAAGGATGTTATTTTGGACATTTCCAAAAAGTGTAGTTTGTTCGTGAAGAAGCAGATCTAAGTGCTGAAATTGATAGCTTTTGGAATTTGGTAAACTTTTGGAAATGGGAGATTTGTTTGCGTAGTCCGGTTTCGATTTGAAGAACAACCCTCATCTAGATCTAAATCAGATCAAACAAACAGATTACGTTGAGACTTTTGCCTGTGTTGTTTCGCATACCTTCGTGAGCAGTACGTGGTGCTCTTTCCTTGTCCCATTCTTGCAGTAGCAGCTTAATTCTATCAATGGTACAAAAAGAGACATTATCGCATTACAGGTGGTGCTGCCTCCCTAATTACTCGTCATTTTTTAACAACGCGTTGTCATGAAAATGAGCGAAATCGTATCATTTTCAGAGATTCCGTAGTATTGTTGTAATTAAACTCTCTTTTCAACCTTTTTTAGGATGTGAATTTTCGCCGTTGGATGTGTTTCCGCATAAGAGAGCGTACAGTGGCGATTCGACTCAAGAATTGGAAGCGTCAATTTCATCAACTATGCCTGAATGTTCGGTAGGTAGTATGTCTTTTCATTCATTGAAAAAGAGTAGTCAATCTTTGAGTGGAGTTTCGGGAAGTTCCCAATTTTCAAGCATTACGTCCAGTCGTAGAAATGATCCTCTGCGAATTCCATCAGGCTGTGGCTGGCCGCCCTTTTCACGTTGTTTCCATTTGTTTTTGTAGCGTAGCACTGCATTACACTGGCTCCCTACTCTCACATTACACGTTCATGAGTATGTACTTGATTTTGCGATCGCTTTCATCTCATCATCTGTCCCTATTGCTTGTAATACTCTCAGAATGTGAATGTTTCAGAGAACCTGCTTTGAACATTCACGTCTGGATTGCGAAGAATCAGCATGTTGCAGCACGTCAGAACAACAAAAACGAGGATACCATCAGAGCGATGTCAGTTCTAATTTCATTGTGCACGAATCCATCGAAAAAACCAAATCCTCGTTGATTTCGATAGTAGACGGGTTGAGTCAGCAATACGAGATAGTGTGGGTGTACAATGTTTGAACAGCATTATTATTGCCTATGTGCTTGATGTATGATTTCCTGTCATCTCTGGTTTGGGTTCACTTTGGGAGGTAAGGTGAAAACAGGGACGGGGTCTGAAAGCCCGAAATATTCATTTTCGAAGCTGTACTGAAGAATTAGGCAGAAATTTATGTTTACGGCAATTTTTCCTTGTGCTATACTTGGAGCGATCTACAGGGCTAGGTTTTTCTGAGGGTGCTTTATTTCTCCCTCACAAGGACATAGATGCCATACTCGTTAGCAGTGAATAGAAAAAAGTAGAATGAGCATTTGTAACATGACAAATCCTCCCAACAGGCTTCAACATGTTCCTCCTCATCATATCAGTCTTCTGGACCTCAGGGAGATGCTGGCTCATTTCATCTGGCACGAGTCGGACTTGACGACGAAAGTCAAACCAGCAGTGGATGTGCGAATTACAAATGTATTAAGGTATGCTTAACGAAGTTTCTATTACAGCAGTAGTTATGGCTTTGATCAGTGCTGTCTAAGGATTTTTCATACAAACATAGATATATTGTGAAGCCTTCAAAGCTCAGTGCTTTACTCTGCCATGTACTGCACTTAATTCAGAAGGTGACATTTATGCTGGATAACCCTATCAGGCGACTCTGTGTCGTTATGATTTCTTAAATCCACAACATTCAATCAAATACAATCGTGCAATGGAATAAAATTAAGCAAAAAATAATATGATTGGGTTGAGTGGCTTTTCGGCTGTGTACTGCTGTTTCCATGTGAATACCTAGAGGCGTAGTGGACACGTTTCCCCTAGTTTGGTGTCGACTATGGTGAAATTTCTCGAAGGGTGTGGCTTTGGTCTAATGGGCGCTTTCAGACATAAACAGTGCCGACCGACCGACCGACCGACGGCATTGCTAGTCTCATTGTCAACCAAGGACCCAAGATGGGCTCAGGGCCCCGCTAGCGGTAGCGGTATCGAACACAGTCTGTCCTGCTTTGTCAATACGTGGTCAGCAAGGTCGTCAGTCGGTCGGTCGGTCGATCGGATCGTCGTTGAGCTCTGAATGCTCGCAATACAATTTTGCCGGTAACGGTGGTGCACGTGTCTACAATGACCTTTTGCTGAAATTTAACTTCTACTAAACATTATACTGCAGTAATAGATGCCTATTTGCAGTGTTACTTATAAATATTAAGGTTCTGCAATTATAAATACATATATTCATGCGTCGTCATGTCAATATGAATGTCCTCCTTAAGGTGAAAAATGGAGATCGTATGAACGAATTGATAACGAGGGCGTTGGAAAAGCATTTGTTGGACAATTCAGAGGACGAGTATTGCCTTGTTCAGTTGTTACCAAATGGAGGTACTTTTATTGTGCTTTACCTAATTACACTGGTTCATGGTTGAATAAAAGAGTGACCAACTTAATCTCGGTGTTTCAGGTGAATTCTTACTGCCTGATAAATGTAACCCGTATTATGCAATGGCTCCTGATCCTTCATCGCCGATGCTCAATCTTCTTCTACGGTAGGTTTGAAAATGTGACGATTTTCTCATTCTCTTAGACCCTCATCGTTTCTGTTTGTTCGTCTTCGATGCGAAAGTTACCGTTCTGTAGAGTTAATAGTTTACAATTGCTATCCTTATCAGCGATAACAAGTAGAGAAAAAGTAGTTATTACAAGGTATGTAAGGTAGTGACCTTATAGAATTGAAGATACCTTATAGAAGGTATAGCTGCTTGAACATATTGGGATTTTTCCCCAATGTTGGCCTCATAACGTTTTTTTTTNTTTTTTTTTTCGTAACTTTCAGGTGCACCAGTAACGGAACTTGTTGTTCTTTTTACGTCCTGGCCATCTTAGCATGTATTTCCGAAATTTATATAAATTAGCATTGTGAACACTGTTTTTTTAGTCAATTTTCAACTGATGTCATTTTAGCAAACGGAGGGACAGTGCGAAAGGTGACGGTACGTCACCGTACGTTGGACCATCAACGAAAAAGCTGAACAAAATGAAAAGATCGAATCTGCTTAGGTGGAGCAGCGGTTATCTGTAATTGAATGTTCTTCTTCGATTGAAAAGTATTATTATTTATTTCCAGCCACTAATTATAATAACATATATATTCAGAGTATAAAAATATATGGATGATTTTACTTATTAGATTTGCGATCTAATTCTTTTGCAATGCTACAAAGTCACCCCCTTGTCGTCCAGACCCTTCCGTAAGAGGTCTGGTTGTGATTGGCCAGCGGTGTCGTCCACTAATCACGGGTCAGCTGCTTCTTAAAATGGGAGCGTTTGATTGAAGCATTGCAACCGAATTTGATTTTACATATATTATTTATTTAAGGGGATTAGTGGCACATTTTGCTAATGCTCCTCTTGTTTTTCTCTTGTTAGCCAGTGCTTTAAAATGGATCATAATCATATTAATAATTGTGATAGCAATAATGACAAGAATAATTATGTGTTCCGCCTCATATGTCGTCTATGTTATGTGTTGAGGTTTACGGTGACCTCATTTGTCTTTCTTCGCATTGATTTCCCTTCTCCTTCCCCTCCCCCTCCTCCTCCTTCATCTTCGGTCATTTTGAATTCGTTCAAACATAATTCATCACGTGCAAACATGTGTCATTCATCGTATTGTGAGTACGTACATGGGTATTAACTAGTTGACTTTTACGATTTTTTTTTCATTTTGTATTACTCACCTGCGTTTCTTTTTGGCTGTTTTGGTCATCTGTATATGTAATGCATGGTGAAATCGAAAAACTTTTTCTACGACAACATAGTAGTGTTTGTTATCCTATTATGTATAGTACTTCATTTCTGTGTTTACGATGTTTATTTGCTTTGCTTGCAATCGATTTGCTCAATATCCTGCACACAGAACACTATTTGTCTCAATTTTCCCGTGTAATATATTGAAAGTCGTAAAATGATCGTTTTCAAAAGAGGAACATAAAGTAAAAATTGAATATTCACTCACTCTGTTACTTCATCACTGAAAAGGGTAACTCGCCAGTGTCGAATGTACTCCCAATGAAATTTCTTACCCCTCTCGATTCTAGCTAGGTGCATCAGCTAGAGGAGAACAGGCTTCAAGTCTGGAGTACGGGCCAATGACTGAAAGGGGTCCTGGTGGACGAGAATTTGGGGTCTTTGACTTTACTTCCTTTAGTGTTGTTATTTATATAAAAGCCACGATGGCTATCCAAATGGAGGTACTTTTGTTATGCTGTGCCCACTGATTCATGGTTGAAAGAAAGACTGACGGACTTATTCTCGGTGTCTTAGGTGAGTTTTTACTGCCTGATAAATGTAACCCGTATGGATAGCCACATGACCCCGCAAGCATGTCTAGGGAACGTCGGTCCTGCCTTGCACGCTATCGCACTTCTCGTTACTGGATATCAAGGCCAGGGATCAAGGAAGTGGGCCAAGCAGGCTGAACATAGAAGTTGAAGGAGCATTAGCATGTCTTGGCTTTGTTTGTGGGCTTTCGGAATAATAAGTAACACAAAGAACAGTTTGTGTTTAAATCTTGTTATGATGCTGAAAAGAAAATGACGTGGATCTGAAGCAAGAGAAGCTGTTGATGCTACGTGACCACACACTCAGAATCCCTTGCGCGGTGACTTGGAACCAGCTGAATTTGTGGAAGACACGTCTTCACCACTTTCCTGGAGACATGTGTCATTGATGAAGAGCTAAGGAAAGTGACCGGCAGAAGTGGGCAATGGTGAGTGAATTGCCTATTATTTTATTTCATTATTTTATTATTTTCACATTTTCATTGAGCGTAGCACTCAGCGAATACCCCACCAAACTCTAACACGGCCAGTGTCAACGCTGAAAACTCCACACTATTCAAAAACCTTGCAGTTACTATTTTGGTAAGTAAACGAGGAAATTAATGAAGCCAAGAATTTGTTAGCCCTGCAATACGCTTTTCCTACCTTTGTTTTCCAGCTTCCTTCACCTTCTGGACTTCGGCTAAACTAAAAAGTGGTCAGGTTCTAATGGAACGTGAATGAAAAGATCTTGCTTTGTCTAGCTCCAGACTTAGTACATACAAAGGTGTTTACTAGAACAGCCTTGAGTAGTAAGAACAAGAGCTACTGCCACATGTGAGCAATTTGGGGATTCGGTTCTGGTCCAGGACTATCAAACCAATGAAAACCAGCTTTTGTTCTCTTTGGCAAACATCGTATAGAATATGCGGCTTTGCCACGATCCAGATTAATACCTGATTATCTGATTCCAGCCATAGTTAATTTATAAAAACTGTCTAGTTTACCTTCACAAACCCTGGTGTACACTCAATCATGCATTCAAAGACTTCCATAACTCTTAGTGACTGGGCAGGTGCTTTTGAAAAGTAGGTTGCCGGCTCCTAATAACTTCTCCTCTGCCTTTTTTTTTAGAATTTAATCGTCTGCTACAGACTTCTACGAGAACTACTGTAAACGTTCTTGCTAAGCGTAGCTAAGATACTGAGAGTGATACTGCTTCCAGTAACAATCAGAATATCGATTGAACTCTCAGCATTTTGATGTGAATTATCGATCAAGGGCCATCTAATTTTCAGTTTTTGTGATTTTACATGATATCGTCCCTTAGTAAATGATGTAACTTCGTAGGGCATACGTGGATTTTGATTACTGTAAGCGTACTGTATCGTACTGGTAACGAAGCCGCGATTAGTTGCAGAGGCACATACGTTCTTGCTAAGTGTAGCGTAACATACTGATAATGAGACTGAATCCAACGACAATTGAGAGCTCTACCATCACGTTTCCTTATGTCGATTGAAATGTCAGCGTTTTGCTGCATCATCCACGAATCATCGATCAAAGGTCTTCGTTCTACTTCATCAGTATTTGTGACATTACATGACATCGTACCTTAGTAAATAAGTTATTTCCGGAGACCCACCTGTCTTTTGACTTGGCATACTGTAACGTACTGGCAACGAGACCGCGTTCAGTTGCAGTCATGAGCTCTACCACCACTTCTCCCCACATCCGAGAATTTCGCCCAGGGTTTTCGATCACGTGTCGTCATCTTTCTATTTTTTCAGTTATTCTATGTTTTTATCAGGAAGCCCGTTTTAATGTCATCAATCAATTCCCATGATATATACCTACAGACAGGCTGTGTCTATCGAATGCAGACATACACGCACAGACAGACATGCATATACGCATTTCTCTACACACATACACACACACATCACTATTCATTGCGATAACCTGTTCTGTCTATCGTGTGCACCAATCAATTTCGCTATAGTCTATGTAGCGACGGGTTAAAACGGGATACCGTTTACTTTTTTTCCGCTCATTTAGTTTTTTGTAGTAAGTTGGTCTCAAGGCCCAGGGCCAGTTTCATTTCGTAGCACGTGCTTCTACAACCAATTTGTTACTTGTAGCAAGTTTTACTGGTTCAAATATTCGATACCTGTACCTGTGCGTTTGTCAACTTTGTGGTTGTCACCTGTGCGGTTTTTCGTTGAGCGTATTCTCTTTTTGGTTGCTCGTTTCAAAAATTATTTTTGTAATAGATTCCAGCTTTTTTTCAAAGGAAAAGGCGATTTATCATTCATTGATATCCTAGCGATCAATTCGATATAATATTCATGTTGTTCTCCATGAAGCGTTTGGATCACCGACCAAAATGAGTCATCATAACGTTGGATCTTCAGATCTTGTTTAACAAGTAATGCTGTGACTTCAGTAGTTTTCTTCTTAAATGGGGATCAAGAATGAACGTTAGGAATTCTTAATTCATACAATCCATTACTTATCAATTGAATAAATTTTATTAAATGTCTAAATTATTATACTATTATTTATATTGCTTATGTTTGATTCAATTCTGACCGATTTCAATTGTCAAATAACAATCCAGTTCTCAATTTTGAACCCACAACGCGGCCTTCTGTTGTCAGGGTAGCTGAAAGTTTGTGTGCAGCTACTATAGTCATCTCAACTATTACATACGACTACCTTTTTTGAGATTAATTAAATAGGGCTATCGGTAGGCTGGGTGCCACGCTTAACTTGTTACCAGGATGCGTCGAAAAGTCGCTATCTGATAGTAACTTTTGTGAATCCTGAGATCCCTGCCTAGATTTTTTACTATTTGTGCATTGGTACAACATGATTTTCTTTGTTTGCGTTAGCAGATTTTCCATATCATGGCCACGAAAGCATTCATGCATTAAAACTACAACTTGGCATTTCAGTCTTTGTTAGTTTAGCCAGCCATTTATGGGTCTGAGTCTCAGTCTGCGCTCCATACACAATCTTTCCTTCATTTACTTCCCTCAGATTCAGAGTAACGGAGTTCTCCGACTTACTGCTTTCAGCATGTGGGTACCCTGAGTAGGTGGGTTACTTGGCTATCTATGGGATTGGGTCTACCCGGAGCAAATAGCCCTGCTATACCGAAATGGGCAAGCAGCTTACGTATACATCCTACTTACTCAAAGACAGAGGGGACAAGTAGGATACCAAAAATAGGTCCAGAAATCGAGTATTCAATTGGGAATGGAGATCGAGCAGGTGATACGGCTTGATTCTTGCTGCCAGTTTTCTGATCTCCTAGAACCATCTTCAAGATTAAGGGTTTTCTTCACAGGTTCCTGGCTCTACCCTTCGTTTTCTACCTTACTGGTAAGGATTCCAGGCTGTCAGCTTCATTCTTTACATCCAGACCGTAATAAAAACCGGCTTCGAGCTAGGCATACAAGCTCCAGTAGCAAGTGTTTGTCAACAGCTTGGATCCCTTTCAGTCAAGTTGTAACATATTCGACTTCAAACTTTCAGTTTATGTTTACGCTTGATATGTGTTTTTCAATGTACGAATTCGGGATCGTACTGAATTTAAGGCAGCACAGTCACAAAGAGTCGCAAGAATAATTTAAATATTCCCACTAAGTATACATACGATAACAACAACATTCGTGGTTACTGTTGTCACCTGAATTTTACGTTTTTGTTGCGGATTGGCTCAAAACCTTGGAAATTTCCAGTCCAGCAGTTTCCA